TCAATAGGTTCACGGAATTGTGTGACCATCCCTACAATCAATCTGAGAACATTTGAAAAAAGATAAAATAAGTTTGAAGGTGTTAGACCTATTCTTTATCACTAGAAGGGGTCCGAGGATCTATTTCTAGCTAAAGTGTTAATGACTTAACTCTGGGCTCCTCTAGCACACAGCAATGAGCAATGTGTGGATGGTTTCAAGTACTGTGGCAGGACCAGCGGGAGCACAGAGGCCTAGTAGACCTTCCAGAGAGTCCTTCACACACTGCTGTGACACAGCTCCCCCCTCCCACATCCCCCTCTTCCTTTCCCTCTTTCACCTCAAGGAAACATGCTCACCTAGGGCCAGTCTTGAGGCCCAGTCTTGGAGAGGGAAGGGAAGACCAGTCACCATTGGTCCAAAGGCTCCCCAGGCATACACTTGAATGCAGTGACAACTGGTGCACATAGTCGGCGCTCACTCAGTTTTCGTTGCTAGAACGGTGTAGAATATCTCCATAGGCGCAACTTACATCCCAAGAGTGAAGAATTCCTCTGAGAGAGTCTCTACTTGGCAGGAAAATGTTCCAAGAGTATCTGTCTGGGAGGATCTGTCTGGGAGGATCTGTCTGGGTTGGACTCCTCGGGTCGCTGATAAAACTCCATCCTGACAGATTCCTCTCCCATGAAAAGACCCTTCTTTCTACTAACTTGTGTGTCCTTTGCTGAGGACAGAGGGAAGTGCTTGATTCAGCAGGTAGCTCTAATATCGAGGTAGATCGCAGGGCAAAGAAACTCCAGCATGTCCCTGTGGTGTTAGATTTCTAACAGCAACAGGGAGGTCAATTTCTTGCGCTTTACAGAACCTGCGTCCATTGTTTTTCTGGGCCAGAGATCGTAAGGTAAAAAGTGAATCCATGAAGAAGCGATGAAGTGAATATCTGTCATGGCCACAAGTCAGATTTTTGTTGTCTGAGGCTTCTCCCCTCCTGCCACTACGTAATGCTCCCTGTTCCCGTCGTTAATCAGTTGATCAATCACATCAAACTGAGTAAAGCTTATCTCGGTGATTCTCAATCAGTCCTCTCTATGAAGTTTTTCACTCTGCATTCCATGGATCGCCATCACTCCATACCATTGTATGAAAATTGGCATTGTGTAGTTTGCATTATAAAAACAATACATATGCAAATATGCTTTCCTAACCCTCCTCCTCCTTCCCAACAGACCCCACACTGCCAGGAGGGCTCTAGACTTTTACATCGCATTTATGCTTATAACATGTTTTGATTGGCAGGCCAAATCCATGCCAAAGTGATCACTTCTACTAACTCCTCGATAAGGGAAGAAACCTCAAGATAGACTCTGAGCACAGTCTGTTTTATTTTGAGAAATGAGAACCATCAATTCTTTGACTCTGTAGTTCTTCATGTCTTTCTGTCAAGACTCTCGGTGAAGGTGTACCTATGAGCAGCCACTTTGCAGGATGATGGAGCAGTACCTATAAAGATTTAAAATGCTTGAGCCCTAAGACTCAGTAGTTCCTCTTCTAGATCTGTACTTCTCAAACCATCTGTGGCAAAGGATCATACTTTTTAAAATTTCCAACCAGTCACGAACCACCGATGGTGAAAATCATGGCCATGTCGAATTGAAAATTCTCAAATTCTGTATTTATCATCACAAACCAGTAACATCCAGTCACAGATCAGCATCAGTCTGAAGACCACTTTGAGTATCACTGTAACTAAACTTATTCTATGGAGATATGTATATGTGAATATGAAGACATAAGTATTACAGAATTTTTTTTTTGTAATACCAAAAGATTACAAGCAACTGAAATGTTCAGCAATAAAGGACTGGGAAAATACCTCATGTCATGTTCATATAAGGCAGTAATATACGGCTATTAAAAAGAAAAATGTACGCTGAGGAAAATTAAAAGAGCAAAACATCGAACACTATTATAAAGTCTGTTCCCTTATAGTAAATGAGCAATTGAAAGTTTAGATGTGCAAACTGAAAACTTCTAGAAGTTATAGCAGAGATTGCGAGCTATCTACCAAATCTCTTTGCCCCTTCTTTCATGGTTATAGACTTTTTTGCTGAGCATATTTCCCATCTCACCTTGTGATTACGTGAGTCTTTATTAATGGTCTTTATTAATGGAAGGTTAGCAGAAGACGTGTGCCACTGCCGAGGCTGGGCCTCAAGACACCGGTCTGAGTACTCTTCCTCGTTTTTTTCCCCTTGCTTCCAGGGGGAACCCAACTGTAATGGTTTCCAGCCTGGACCATGCAGGTGATGCCAGTTCCCCAGAGGACAGCAGAGCGACAAGAGGAAAAAACATGGGATCTTGAATGGCCACGGAGAACAGAGCTGCACTGCCAACCTGAACTACTCTCATTTGGGCTGGTACAGGTGTCTTAGTCCGTTCAGGCTGCCATCACAAAATACCACAGACTGGGTAGCTTATAAACAACAAACATTTCTTTCTAACAATTCTGGAGGCTGGGAAGTCCAAGATCATGGTGCTGGCAGATTCGACGTCTGGTGACAGCTCGCTGCCTAGATAGCTGTCTTTTTGCTGTGACATCACATGGCAGAAGAGCAAGGGAGGATTCTTGGGCCAGTTTTATAAGGGCACTAATTCCACTCTTGAGGGCTCTGCTCTCATGACCTAATCACTTCCCAAAGGCCCACCCCCTAATACCATCACCTTGGGAGTTAAGTTTCAACATATGAATTTGGGCAGGACACAAAAACTCAGGGAATAGCACATGAGATAGGGAAATAAACTTCTGTATTATCGGGTCTCTTTGTTACAGCAGCTGAGCCTTTACACATAATATGAAAGAATACACAAGAATCTTTAATATTGACTTTCTCTAGGAAGCGAAGTTGTGTCGGGAGAGAGATTTAAATTTCATTTTCGATCGTTTCGTAAAACCTGAATTTTTAAAAGTTTTATGCAGGCATTAGCATATACTCATTTAAAAATAACAGGAAATAGAACGATGCTGACTTTCTCTTTAACAAATTATAAATCTGATTTTCCCATCCCAGTATCTTCAATGGGAAATGAGTGAATTCTAGAAACAAATGTTATTAACCACTGATTTCGCATTTCGCCATCTTCGCTTTATGAAGATATTTGCTAAGGAAAAGGTAAAAATGTCTGTGACTTTCATTAACTTTTAATTCTGTTGACAGAACACCGCCAAAGTGTGTGAGCTTGACAGAGATCCCTGATTCCGAATGCTACCAAAAAATCTACATTTTTTACCTTACCAAAACAACCAGGGAACATAGGAATGAGCTTCTAGCAGACAATAAATTAACATGGCATCAACAGAAATAAGCTGGATCTGCCCCCCAACCATTCTTTTTAGGGTGTCCCTTCCTGGAATGATCCTGCTCTCGGATATGTGTCCTCACGCCTCAACAAACACCAGCACAAATATTTCCCTATAAACATCATGAACATATAAACAAAACAGGGTTCAATGTGACAACGCTAAAATTATCCTTGGCAAACCTGTGCTGATTTCCACATTTTCCATATTAAATAACACTATCACACACCATTTGTTCAGTTCCTAAGAAACATATATTTCAAGATAACTCATCCTGCAAGATTAATGAAACTGTACTTAAGGAAGGATGGTGTATTGGAGATTTTTCTTCTTTTCATTCTGAAGGGACTATTATTCTTGGATAATTTCCAGTTATTCTCAGGTACATTTCTTCAGGTACCTCTTCAGGATTCGGAACTGGACTGGAGAGCGGATGCTATGCACTGATGCAGAGGAATGAAAGGGACAGCAGAGGTGGTGGAGAGTGTCAAAGTTGTTTCATTTGGGAGAAAAGCATAAAGAGTGCCAACAGGTAGGTATTTTGACTTTGTCTTCTGAGTGCGAAGTAAAGAGAGAATTAATTTCTCCGTGAATTATTATCTGAATGTACAAACTTCATGAAAACGATTTCCCCTTTGATGTCCACCGAAGATTTTTTAAAAGTATTTTCAAAAACCCAGTGTAGATGACAATTTTTAAATATTATAGATAAAAAAAAACTATATTTAATATGCTCATCATGCGAAATGAAGCATTTTTAATTATTCAAGATTTGCAGCAATGGCAATTGATAAATGTTCCAAGTCCTTCTAATTTAGCTGCATCCCTTAAAAGATGGCTTTAAAAACACTTAAAGAGCTATCTATTTCAGCCTTTAAATGGCATCCAAACCTTAGAAGTCAAATATCATAGTCCATATTTATAAAATCCTAAAAGAAAGATTAACGCAACCATAACATAATATAATCATGTAGCCATGGATAGATGATAAATATAAACAGCAGATTAACATCAGAACTATTAGCTATAGTTTCAAAAGTTCTTAGATATCAAAAAGAAGATGTAGTAGGCCACCTCCTGAGATTCTCAGTCTCTGATCAAGATGTCAGGCTGACCACAGCCATCGCAACCACCCTTCTTGGTCATAGACTAGCTTCCCTGGATTGAGGTGATCGCTCCCACTGAGCTGGTGGGATCCGTGATTTATTTCTAACAAATAGAATATAACCAAAATTATGGGATATCACTTCCCTGATGAGATTACAAGAGATGGTGCCTTCTGTCTTGCCAGCACACTCTGTCTCTCTCTCTCTCTCTCTCTCTCTCTCTCTCTCTCTCTCTCTCTCTCGCTCTCTGTGTAAGCAAGCTTCCATGTGGGAGAGGGCCACATGGCCAGAAACTGAGAGCAGACTTGGGCCAACAGTCCAGAAGGAACTAAATCCTGAAAACAACCACATGAGCGTGAGCTTAGAAGTGGATCTTAACCTCAGGAGATGCCCGTGGCCTTGGCTGACACCTAGATTGCAGCTTTTGAGAGACCCTGAGCAGAGAACCCAGCTAAGCCACACCTGGACTCCTGACCCGCAGAGACTATAACGATTGTGTTGCTTTAAGCCACTAAGTTTTGGGGTGATTTGTTACACAGCTATAGATCACTAAGGCAGAAGGGTCAGTTCTTTGCATTTGTATTATGTTAGTGAACCATGACTTAACGTCAGTTAGTATTGTCTGATGGAATCGACATACAAATTATTATACCGTGAATCATTTTCGGTTAAAACTACATTTTTCAGATTTTGCCAAAACAAGCCTTCTGCCTTGGGATTGTCAGGCCACTGGAGGATGGAGCTTTTACAGAGTCTCTGCCGCAGCCTCAAATACTGAGAATGCTGTAACACTGGCTCCAGCAGAATAAATACAATCACATCCATGTTCTCTTCCATTAGTCTCTGCAAGGCCAAGTAGAATGCTGTTTTAAAGCTCCAGCTTCTTGCGTATTTTTTGGTTAAGACAAATATCGTTTTTTTGCTTTGGTTGATGCTCTGCATGAGGTTATCGATGATGGCTAATCCCGGGTCCCAATCCCTCTCCTCTAAACAGAGGAGCACGTTTTTCCCTTCACTGTCTTCTAGGTGGAAGCGCAGCTCATTTAGCACCCAGTCCGTAACAGAGGCATCTTTGGTGTCATAAGAAACGTAAGCATCATAGAAAGTTTGGGATGTGGAAAGAGACCTGTAGCCTTTTACTTTCGCTAAACACACTTGGTATATAAACCAAACATCCCAGTAAAACCAGTGGTGAGCCAGGGCAGCCAACATAACCATGATGGTGATGAAGGATGTAAAGAAACACAATATGGCTGCGATGGTGTCTGGAACACAGGTGGTTAGCTCTAGAGTCACAATACTCTTCCCTCTTTGATCCCCAGGGCTGGCACAAGTGACATCTGTCAGTCGAGGAATTGTAACCTGTAGATTTTTATGCATCCATTCTCGAAAACCTCCCATGTCACAGGTACAGTCTAAAGGGTTTCCATCGAGTTTCAAAAGGGCTAACTTGGTTCTGTTCTTAGTTTGAAATGTGGATCTGTTGATCATCTTTAGCAGGTTGAAACTTAAATCGAGATGTACCAGACTGCTGGCTTCAGAAAGAAAGTTGGAAGGCAGGTGGAAAATCCTGTTGTGACTCAGTAGCAGCGTCTGAAGAGAAGATGTGAATGTAGATAGGCTATAAGTTAAAAAATATAGACTGTTCCTACTTAAGTCAAGCAACTGGAGCAAAGGAAACTTGTAGAGTAATGTCCAGTTAAAGAAAGATAACTCATTATCATTTATATATAGTTCAGTGAGATTTGTGGGCAAGTTAAGGAATACTTTATCTGGGATACGCTTAAGATTGTTAAAAGATAAGTCAAGCCGTCTCAGACTCGTGAGACATAGAAAAATGTGCTTGTACCTGTTATCCTGAGCATTCCACATAAGGTTAAGGCGATTTCCACTAAAAACTAATTCTTCTAGGGACTTGCTACTCAGATTGTACTCTGTTAATGTATAAATGCTGTTGTAGCTCAAGTTTAAAACTTTTAGGTGCATTAAATTTTTAATAAACCCTAGACGGTGCGTTACCCCTGCTATTTGGAAATAGTGTTCGTTGTGGCTGAGATCTAGAACTTCTAACTCAGGCAGTTCATTGAAAGCACTATCATTATCAAAGTCTAGTCTATTGCTTGATAAATCCAAATATTTGACTTGAGGCACAGCTGAAAATTCAGTTCCACTTAATACTTGATCAATGGCATTCGAAGATAGATTTAAGCAGGCAATGCCAGGAAAAGCTTCAAACTGCTTTTGCCCAATAAAGAAAATATTGTTCAAGCTTAAATCTAGGGCTTTGCCATACTGTGTACATTGTGGCTTTATTAAAGGCTCGGTGCTATGATAAAAATTTGAATGTGGGTCAAACTCAGTGTCTGCTGAGCGTGGCTTAAGGATATGACTTTGGATAGTGGAACTATTTCCGTAACTTTGCCTGTTATCATTTACCAAGGGCGATATTCTGTTTCCTGACAAGTAAATGACCGACAGGTTAGAACAATGTTTGAAAAAGGTAAAATCGATTTTGCGAATAAAGTTAATGCCCAAGTTGATAGTCTGTAAATTTGAGAGGTTCATCAGGGGCTGGAAATCATCTTGTCTGAGTTTCTGGAACACATAACCTTTTAAGTGCAATTCCCGGAGACGTGTAAGATGAGAGAAGTTTGAGGAAATATTAATATATGGTGGATATGTTTTCTGTACATAGTTATAAGATAAGTCAAGTATTTCTAAGGACGGCAGTTTTGTTAAAAATCCCCCAGAAGCTATTTCTTGTGCTAAATAGTTGAATTCAAGATGTAGCTCCTTCAGATAAAGCATATTGTTAAACCAGGATGCATGAATATTGTGGAGGGAGGTGCTAGAGAGGTTGAGGTATCGAAGGTTGGTCAGGTGTTGGAAAGCACAATCAGCTATCTGAATTGAAGCATCTTCTGCGCAAGGCGTACAGGGAAATGGTGCGTTGAAACACCTTGGACAGTTCCCGCTTAAATCTAGTACCGTTAAATTTTCCAAATTCTTGAAGTCGTCTTCATTGATGATTGTGATGTTGGTGTTGCTGAGGTAAAGTTCTGTTAGAGATTTTGGCAGGTTGTGTGGCACTTTTAAAAGGTTATTGAAAGATAGTGAAAGCACCTTCAAATTTGTAATCTCTTCAAATGCTCCGCATCCTACACGAAAAGTTGTATTACAAGCATTGCCAAAAAAGCAGTTCCAGCCCAAATTGAGAGTTTCCAAATTCTGAAGTCCTGAAGTGTCATTTTTACTTACAAGAATTATGTTGTTTTGAATTAGACTAAGTTTTTTCAAAGACCCGGGCAGATCAGCAGGTATTTTGTCTAACTGGTTGTCTTCAAGCAGTAATTCCATTAGGTTCTGTAGGCTGAGGAATGCCCCAGCTGTAATATTCATGCCTTTTTTATTTATAGAATGATTTTTCTTGTAGGGATAGAACATGACATTGTGGTTTAGATTGATTTTAGTAAGATTTTGCAGTCCTTGAAATGATTTATTTGTTACGTGCATAATTGAATTTCCAGAAAGGTCTAGTTCTGTCACATTTTTGACTGTTATTTGGGGAACTTCTTTCAGCTGACGATCGTTGCACTCTACAATAATGGAGAAATTTAGTGTTTTCAGATCACAAGGATAGCTTGTAGGATACTCTGCTTCAGTGAAGAACTCACAGGAATGAGAGATTAGCAGGAAAAGGCAGGTCAGAAGTAAAGACTGAAGGGTCATGTTTACCTAAGGAAAATCAAAAGTGGAGGCGCAGTGTTAAAGTAGCGACATTTGCCAGGTATTTCATGATGAAATCTACAGTGCTTCACCGTACTTTATATGAGTTTTGAAGTGTGGGTTTTCTTAACAAGTAAACAAATTGCATTACATTAAGTTCAGAACGATTTTAAGTTTTCACTGTGTTCAGCTTCATGGTGCTAAAAGAAGTTGAAGATGGAGCTATCTAAGATTATAATGATGTAAAAACTTGGGAAGCTTTTGTGGACGCATTAATCAAGATGTCCCCACCACAATGCGGCCAGGGCTGGACCATGACTATGGTCCATGCTAGATCTGTAGCACAGCAAGCTATATATCTATAGTTTCAACCTATTAATATAACTCTTGATGTCCTAAGGAGAGTTCAGATCCAGCTTCTGTTATAGTATCATTCATCATCTGCAAGCCAGTCATCTCTACCTTATCTACACAACCATATCTCTTATTGGTATTTCCCATGATTTTTCTATACTTCTATGGTTGTACATGTCAAGTTCTCTTATCACCTTGCATGACAGGAAAGTGGACACCTTCTATTGATAATAATAATGAAAAAATCAGTTATTGTTCAAACATAAACATTTTCTCACCCACATTAATGTTTGTAGCAACACAGCAAGATACGTGATGTTATTAGCCATATTTTGTAAGTGAAGAAAAAACCTGGGAGGCTTAAGCAACCTTCAGAAGGATGGTACATTGCAGGGTAGGACTTGAGCCGACATGATTCCAATGTCCTGTTTTTAACCACTAGCCGTCATACTACACAATCTCATTTTGAAATCTTCCTGCCAGCACAATGCCTCAAATGTAGCCATCACTTAAATTTTTTTTTGCAGAATGGCTACTACTCATATGTCTCTTATTGTATAAACATTGGCATTAATAGCTATTCTTTCGTTAACGTTGTAAACTTCCGTGGGGAAGACATGATATTTTATATTTTTGTGAATCCTCTGTAACACTTAGTGTGCCTCACTTTCTGTGCCTCTTTCTTAATAGAGGGCTGATTATATTACTTTTAGTAATTATACAATGCAATAAACAGGTTAATATGATTGGTTTGATCAAGAGTTATGATCAAAAGAACTCTGAAATCTTATCTCACTGGTTATGGAGACCAACCAGTCTTTCCTAAACTATATTTTTCACTAAAGTCCAACTTGTGTCCTTATTATGAGTTAAACCATGTGTGCTTTCTTCTAAATTATCCTAAAATTTAGATTTAGTGAACTAGCAGTCTCTGTCATACCCTTACTATATTGTAAAGGATTTTTACATAGATACTCATAATGCTGAGGGGCAATAATTATTGCCCATGTATAATAGACAAGAAAAAAAAGTCAACTCTTTATGAGATGAAAATTAAAGTGGACTAGAAATCCTGGGCATTTTCAGTTACTTTTATTTTCAACAACGACACTATCTAGGTACTGCTGCTTAATGTTTAATTTTTACTAAAGAAAACCCTGTTTTACCTGGTGTGGAAGGCAGAATTTTAAGATTGCCCCTGTGACTTTTGCCTCTGACATTACTCCTGTAATTACGTTACATTCCGTGGCAAAAGGGAGATTACCTAGATGGCCTAAGCTAATCATATACACCTGTAAAAGCAGAGTGTCTTCTCTGGCTAGCAGCAGAAGGGAGAGTCAGAGAGATCGGAAGCAGGAGAAAATTTTGATGTACTATTGCTGACTTGAAGATGGAGGGGGCCACTGACAATGAATGCGGGCATCCTTTACAAGCTGGGTGGCTCCCTGCTGACAGCTAGCAAGGAAATGCTCCCCTACCCCACCTTACAACCACAAAGAACTAAAACTGACTGAAGACCTGAATGAACTTCGCAATGGATCCTTACTTATCCAGAGTCTTGAAATAAGAGTCTAAGTTGGCCAACACATTGATTTTAGCCTTATGAGACCTAGAGCAGAAAACCTAGGGAAGCCTATCCAAACTGCAACCTACAGAAATTTAAGCTAATAAATGAGTATTATTCGAAGCCTCTAAATTTGGCAGTTATTTGTTATATACAAATAGAAAACTAACATGTTTAGATGATATGTATGAAAAGGTGATTCATGACTTGAAAGCATGCAGCTCTTGCAGAGGCCACCATAGATCTTTAGGCTCAACATCTCCACTGGGAGACACAGGTACACCTAGAGGATAATGAAGCTTGGGGATGAGAGCAACTTTGGGAGGTGACCCAATGTTATATTTGCTCAGTACCTAAGCAGGTGTGAGCCTATGTGATGTCCAAGTGTGGAAATTGCTAGATCTGGAAGTCACTTCCCTACTCTTCTTTGTGGTTTTCAAGCTGCTGGGTGACCTGGGGAGTCTGTTTGATTACATGTACAGCTTATTAGTTAGCTCACAGTCTAGTGGGTTAAAGAGACATGAGTTGAACACAGCATTACAAGATTTCAATCGTGACACAAAGAAGTATGTGATACCATAAAAGTATAAAAAAAGGAGGCTGAGAAAGATTTCCCTGAGGAAAAGAAACTTGAGCTGGGATTCTGAGATTGAATTGGCATGTATAAGGCACAAATAGGTCAAAAGAATATTCCAGCACATACAAAGGCCCTGGGTGTATTCCTTTGGGTTTCCCACGCTGCGCCTTTACAAGAGCCTGGACAGGAATCAAAAGAGCATGTTTGGACCTAAGACAAAGCATATCAGGTTTCAAAGTCCTCAAAGCTGATCAAAACCTGCAGAGGACTGCTTGTAACAGTCGGACCCAGAATAAGAGGTATAGCCAAGAGGATTGGAATGGCACATAATAGATAAGAAATAGAGATGTTGCTGAGGTCCTCAGTATCTCCATGTCACTACATTCAATGGTCATTTTTCAATCCTCATCTTCATGAACACGTGAATATATGGAGCCAAAAGACAACAAGGGACGTAAGAAAAGACAGGAGTAGATTTTGACCTTTAACTGAAGGACAACACAAGACTTTGAAGGTTTTAAGCGGAGTGGTATCATGCTTATTGATTCGACAGTGGTCGCTGGCAAGAGGACACATAACTTCAGGAGCGAGATGATAGTGGCTTGAAGTAAGTTGGTGGCAATGGAGATAGAAATGGATTCAGGAGATACTTAGGAGGTAAAACTGAGAGACGTAGCTATAGATATGTAATGGGGGGGATTGTGAGGGAGAGGGAAGAATTCAAGGTTACTTTCGGGTTCCCGATCTGTGCAACTGGATGGAAAAGTATTCCCTTCACTGAGAAAGAAGGTCGTTTGGGGCAGGGGGTGGAGCAAGTGAATATTAATTAAATTTGACATGTTGAATTTGAGTTGAGTTTGTGATCTTCCAGTGGAGATGTCCAGTAGGCAGTTACATATATCTGTCTTAGGCTCAGAGGAGAGTTCTGATAGAAGGATGAATTTGGGAGCCATGGCAACTACAGCCACGGGGGTTAATCAGATTATCCAGGGCAGTGTAAGCCAGAAAGGATCTTCCACACTTCAATATCAACAACAATTTTTCTCATCCCTTTTTTCTAGTAATTTTATGATTTAATTTTCTTACATTGAAATATCTTAACCCACTAGAATTGCTTTGGCATAAAATATGAGGTGTAGAACCACATTATTTTTTTCAAAAGGGAAAAAATAAGGTGCCCCAACATCATTTATTGAATCATCTTTTGCTTACCAATTTGATATGCTCCTTTCATCATAAACTAACTTTCCTGTGTATATCTGTTTCTAGACTCTCTATTATGTTTCATCTACCTATTCATTACTCATGTGCTGGTACCACGTATTTTAATAATTACAGTTTTTAAGTATGCGAGTATCTGGTAGGGTAAGTCTTGCTCATGATTCTTCTCTTGTTAATGGATCACATCTATCGTACCTTCTAATGGGCCTTTCCTGGTGTACACAAACTATTGGTTTCTATAGTTAATCTTATGCCAAATAACTATAATAAATTCTATGATTATTTGGAATAGTTGTTTCTCCACGTGATTTTCTTGGGTAAGCAATTAAACCATCTACAAATGATGATGATCTTCCTATCACCCCTTATGCAGTCTAAGTCATTTTTATTGTCTAATTGCATTGCCTAGTTACTCCAGAACAATGAAAAAAAAAATAATAGAGCAGAGATTAAAGCACACACAAATAAAAATTCTGCCTCATGAAAAAACTTGGTACCCAAAAGTGAAACAATAAAGTAGGAAGACATGTTTGCAGTTCATATCACAGCTAAAGGAATGATATATTTGATAGGTAAAGACTTTTTATGCATAAGTGAGAAGACAAATAACCCAATAGAAAACTGCACAAAAATATATTAACAGACAGTTCACAGAAAAAAGGAAAACAAATAGCCCTTAAACATAGGAAAAAATACTCAACTTCGCTCAAAATGTTACACTGAGATAGCATTTTTCACAGATTCTACTGTGTGGGTGAGGATGTGGAGAAGCATATTCTCATATTTTGCCAGGAGGAGACTAAATTAGTGCTGCCTCTAAGATAGAGAGCAATTTGTGATATCTATCAACATTGGAAACGTACATAGGCTCAGCAATTTTAATTCTAGAAATAGATACTAATGATAGACCCTCATGTATGCAAATGACTATATACAAGGATTGTCAATGCAGGGCTGCTAGTAATAGCAAAAGATTGGAAAGAATCTAAATGCCTACGGGTAGTGGTCTGGTTTTAAAAAATTATGTATATTCATATAATGGATTACTATGCAGCAATAAAATGAGAAGGCAGCTCTATTCATTTATTCATTCGTTCAAAAAATATTTATTAAGCATCTACTTTATTTCAGGGACTATTTTCAGGCTGAGAATACAGCAATGAACAAAACAGATTAAAATAACTGCCCGTATGGAGCTTACATTACTACACTATCTTAGATGGTGGAAAATACTATGTAGAAAAATAAAGCTGAGAAAGGGGATGATTATGCAGATTGTCTGATGCTTTTGTCATGATTAGATTGGGGCGATGAGTTTTGGAGAGGAAGACCACAGAGGCAAAGTGTCATTCTAGTCACAACACACCAAGGGCACATACTAGCAATGAGACTTTCAGTGTTGACGTGAACCTTGATCACCTGGCTGAGGTAGTGCTTGTCAGATTCCTATTATAATTTTTAATTATAGATAAATAAAAAATAAAAATAATTTTTTAAAGGCCCACGGCAGGGTGAGGCCAGCTTGCAGACCCTTTGCATGGCAGACAGAGCACTGTTGGTAGGTGAGGCATTTCAGGTGGTCACTTGGGCAGGTCCAGCCTCAGCTTGAGGCATCAACATCCAACTTCGAATGTAATTCTCTCTCATACAATCCCGAGCAATTGAAGTCAGGCTGTAAGGGGGTGCTAGAGACCAGGAGAGGAGCCTTTTGCAATTTGCTGTATTTCCAGGATGAAAATGGCCTCTCGGAGAGTCTGCAGCACCTTCAAGTAAATATTGGGCCATGGAAGTGATCAGAGGGGACTTGTGAGTGAAGAGCTTGACGTTCTTAACTCTACCTTCCCAAAAGAGTCCTGAGGTAAGAACTTGAGTTGACCAGTTCCAAATAACCTGAATTTGAAGAGAAGTGCCTGGGTGGGAAGAATGGGAAGTGTGAACAGGCAGCTAGCAGAGAAGTTAAGGTGAAAACCCTGACTATTCAAGCCTCTCCATCCACCTCAGGACCTCATAGAGGCAGAATGGACTGTGAAAGCCCCTCATTCACAGAGTGAACCCTAGGTCATGTCATCCAGTTGGATCTGAGGACAGAGCGAAGCCCAAGGCCCCAGCAAGAGCTGTACCTCGCCAGCCAAGTTCTTTCTCCTGGTCACTCCCATGCCTGTGGCTATCAAAAGTTGTGGCTCTAAAAAGGACATCAGAGGGGATCAGCCCCCAGACCAACTGAGAAGGTTACCAGGGAAAATTTACCCTTACGATATAAACAATGAATAAACACTATCCAGCCTGGCAGGAGAGAAATGGCAACTCTGCAAATAAAATAGAGAAATGGCAATGAGGCAAAAATATAGAGAGAGAACTGGAAATCTCATAAATAGAGGAAAAAAGAGCAATTATGCAAATAAGAAAGAAAGCGGAACTATGCAAATAAGAGAGCGAGAGAGACATAGAGAGAGAGAGGACACTTCGTTGTTTGAGTCTGACAGTTGAAGTTTCCCATTAAAATGACAGTAAAGGACTAACAAGATTAGACAGGGTGTAAGAGAAGACCACAGCAGATTAAGACCACGTAGGAAGTTGAAGAAGATGGAGAGCAGGTGATTGAGCAGTAGGTGCCAGAGAAGAACAGAAACTGAAGAGTCAACCAGAGTAAAGTCCATTCACATCACAGAAGCCTGGAAAGACTCCGCAACTGGAGACAACAGGCATGGCAGGTGGCATGCCAGATAGGGCTGCACAGTGGATTGGTTAAGAGTACACATGTGAAGTTAGACCCCTCGTGGTCCCCTCTCTGAGACTTACTATCTTTTAAGGTCAAATCCAGAGCCTCGGGTTCAGGACTTGAGGTACAAGTGAAGGCCCAGGTGAACTGCCAAAGGGAAAAAACGAGAGTTAAGGACAGTCTGTATCTGGAGCGTGGAACCCCCTCCACTTCTGTCCCCTGGGCTCTAGAAACTGACAGCCATCGGGTTATGAACATCCTACTCCAGCAGCCCAGTCAGGACACTGCAGGATCTTGCTGGAAAAGCAGATGAGCACAATAGCAGGGTCATGGTTGCAAAATTTAAGGGGACCCCCAAAAACTTAGTCATCAAGATGAATACTATTTTAAAAACTGAAAAATCCCTGATGGACAAAATATCAAACAAGGCCACTTTAAACAAAGACAGATTCTGACCCTGTACTTGCAACGCCCTGCTCTGCCTGCCTTCACCCTCAGCCAGGCTCTGTTCCAAAAAAACTTAATTTATTTATTAAAACAGGCAAACGGCTTGCTGTCCAAAGCTTGCCAGTTTGGTTTTTAAAAATACAACATGAAAATATTATTGATCTTGATTATTGATCTTGATTATTTTTGGTACCCTTCCTCCCTTAAATTTGGTACCCAAAGCAAATGCCTCACTCTCCTCACCCTAGTCAAAAGCTGAGTGCACCCATTCGTCCTGAGCTGAGGCTCAACCGTAGACTGGGGAACCCTGTTCTTTCATTTGGAGATTCTATGGTCAACACCAGTCACCTGGGAATTCACCCAATACGAAAGGGAGGTCGACCGAGAAAAAGAAAACCAAATCGGAGACCCAACAATTGGTGGAATCAAGCCTCTGGCAATCCAGGACACTGGTTTATGGTTTCTTTTCTTAATGTAGGTCCTGTCCTGAACCCGAGGCTCTGGATTTGACCTTAAAAGATAGTAAGTCTCAGAGAGGGGACCAGGAGGGGTCTAACTTCACATGTGTACTCTTAACCAATCCACCGTGCAGCCCTATCGGGCATGCCACCTGCCATGCCTGTTGCCTCCAGTTGCGAAGTCTTTCCAGACTTCTTGCACAGGTTCTCAATTCCTTCTCGCAATTCAGAAATTCTAAAAGATCTGAACATTGGGAGATTTTTTTTTTTTTTTGTAATGTTTTTGGCAGCAAAATCTGATCTGAACTAACCTACAGCTACCATCGTCTTTATTTATCCACTTAGTGCGAACATTCTACTATCATGGCAGAAATAGCCATGCGTGTGACCTGGACCCGTTGGGAATGTTTTGTCATATGTCATATAGGTAACATATTATCTTACTAAAACAGGAATTCTGAACTTTGACACCATTCTGGCCCACAGATTTTGGATCAGAAATCGTGCATCAGTACTTAAATCTCCTTCACTGGGAACACATTAGCAATTCCTGAATTTTTCTTGGCATGTGTTATATTGCAAAATAGAATATGGCTGTCAACGAGGCCAAATTATGACTTTCATGGGCCTGAGGCATTTTGCCCTTCATGGGCCCCTTCCTCCATTTTTAAAAAAAGTAAAAATTATCTTTTATGACCACATTGCTATAAATTGCTGTTGTGCATTGGTATTGCATTGGAACATCCAGAAAAAAATTTGCTGATTTTAAAAGAAGTTAAATCTGTGCTTAAAGCATCATGGGCCCTAGGCTCTGTGCCTTCTGTGCCTAAGGAGAAATTGGCTCTGGTTGTCAGTGAGGGTGTAATGGGGCTCAGATCAGGTCCCTGGAGACAAGTTTAGTAGGAGACACTTCCTGGAAAGTAAATTATTAGATTAGGAGCTGGTGAAGTGAAAGGACTAGGATTAAGTAGAAGTGGCAGAATAAAGGATCAAAAAATGTGAAGTGTTGCAGGTTGAATTATGTGTCCCCACAAAGATATGTCGAAGCAGTTTTAACCTCTGTACCTGTGAATGTGAGCTCATTAGGAAATAGGGTCTTTACAATGAGTTCATACCAGATTAGGGGAGGCCCAATGACTGCTACCCTTAGAAGAAGAGGGACATTTGGACACAGACACACGCAGGAAAGAAGACCATGTGAAGACGGAGGTAGAGATTGGGGTTACAAGCCAAGGAATGTCAAGGACTGTCCACTACCACCGGAAGCTGGGAGAAAGGCACAATACAGATTTTCCCTCTGGAACCACAAGAAGGAACCAACTCTGTTGACAATGCCTTGATTTCAGACTTCTGGTTTCCAGAATCATGAGAAGATAAATTTGTTGTTTTGAGCCACCAGGTTTGAGATATTCTGTTACAGCAGCCACAGGAAAGAGAGTAAGAGCAGAGGGCAGGTAATTAAGAGCCGTTCAGTGGAACTCACTGCGTAGAACACACTGATGTGGATGATGAGGTCTGCACGGTCTGGATCTTTCACTGGGTGTTGCGCTGGAACACCCAGAAAAAAATCAAGACCTATTTCTGTAAAGAAAGCATATGAATCACACCTCAAAAGGAATCTGCTTCACTTCCCCCTGCCTGCCAAATACAGCTGTTGCTAGCAACTGAAGAAGCAATTTCACAACTGTTTCCCTATTTTCCATGCCGAATCAGTTCTTTGGTTGGGTCATGATGCCCAATAATCCAATTCTCTCCTTTGGGTTCTGAAGGAGCCAAATGTTACAATGAAAATGACCTGTCTCAGTCCTCACCCAAAACTTCCTTCTCAACTTGGACCCCAATGGACACCAAAACCACAATTTTTAAAGGCCAGTGCAGTTTAAAGAACGGTTCAGAAAAGTCTGTCTTAGCTGAAGAAGCCTGGAAGTCAGAATGAGCCAAGGGGCCACCCCCATAACCTAGCCCCTGGGGCGAGAGCGGCAGGCGGGGCAGAGACTGGGTGCAAAAAGACTGATCTCACTAGGCGACACTAAAATCCTGCAGGTTTTCCCACACGATCTAAGGTGAAGGTGGTCTGCGAGCTGCCCGAGGCTGCCTTCCTGGAATAAAATGGCTTTTTACCTGTTCACACCCCTTTTCAGGCTGCAAGCAGAGATTTTGCAATGATGCTTCCTTTCTTCTCTCTTCAAAGGCTTCCTTTGCCAACATGTGATTTGCCACAGCCCATCTCCTTAGCTGCACCCCTTTCTCGGGATGGGTCCTGCTGGTGTCCCCTAATACTAAAATGTCAAGAGAACCTATTGATCGTAAGATGTGATTAATCCCCCTAACTGAGTTACTTAATAAGTTTGGGTATTTTGTGGCATTCGACCGGAACTGAATTTTTGCCAAACTGGAAATATTTCTGATTTTTAATGGGTTCTGATTCATTTGCATTGACTATGCTGACAACTGATACATTATGTAAGTAATAAAAAAAATGGTTGTACGGATAGGATTTATCACCTTAGATGAAATTTACAATTAATAATAGATACTTTATTTTATCCATTCCAAATTCGATGGATTTACTAACAGCTTTGGAGGACAAAAGAACCCACTACACCACATTCAAGGCACCTATCAATGAAGGCATGGATCCTGATTTCATATACATAAAAGTATGAAAACCTATGCTATTTGAATTCCGGGCAATATGGTAGGGAGCTTTACCAGGAGACAAACACTGGGTTGAGTGCGAGGCATGCATTTCCTTATTTCATCCCCCTGCAAATCAGTGAGGTGGGTGCTATCATAAGACCCCATTTTACAGACGTAGAACCTGAGACTCAGAGAGGCTAAGTTACTCGAAGTCACTCAGATGGTAGGTGGCAGAGCTGAAACTGAGCTTACATGTGTACCTGAGTAGTTAAAAAATTAGCTGGAACCAAGGGGCCAGCTGGCAATGGTCTGGTTTGGATTATCAGCAGAAACACCATAGCCATACCTGGAACCTTCCGGATTCAAATGCCGGGGTGGATTACCCACCTTGCCTTTTGACACTGATCAGTCTACCACAGAGCACTCTGTAATTCCACGGAACAACTGGAAATCCACCGACTTTAGATGTATGGACCGACTAGCAGTTCTTTGTAACCATCTGAAAAGTCAACAAAGCCCATACTTGCTAATACTGGTCCAGAACTGTAGGTAATACACTTAAATTTACTGTGTCTGTATAGCCCTGAAGAGTCATAAATTAGAGATAACAGTTTAAAAAATAATCAATCCCTCAACTCCATCTAATAAGTCAGTTGAACTCAAATACATTCCACTGGAATGATGCTCCCCTCAACAGACCCTGGAGGTGGCATTGAAACAGGCTTACAAACAGCATCCAAATGAGTTTCAAGGACTAACCCTGGCTAATGACATCCTCTCCTATGAGACACACCCTGATACTCCATAAGTCTGGGGTGTCCACGAGGCGGGCTCCTGTCTCATAACCCCTCACGCTGCATTAGGGTTAGCACATGGAAGGATAAGGGGCAGCGGCTGAAGGAGAAAATGAACTTCGTCAACTGCCCTCACCCTGCTCTACAGCATCAGCTTTTCAGATAATCATTATTTTGCTCTCGGAAGTCAAACCAAGGGGCTAATGAGTAAGTTTTGGGTCTTCAGGCAGCCTCGTCACCGTTTTTAGTAATGGACCCAAGAGACCTGTTCGGCGGCCACTTAGGCAGTTGTTCTCAACTGTGGCTGAATGCTGAGATACACGGAAAGCTGCCATGCCCAGCTCCCACCCCCTGAGACTCTGATTTCATTGGTCTGGGGTTCAGCCTGGCAGCAGAACTTTTAAAAATTTGCTGCATGATTCTAATACATAGTCAAGGCTAAGAACCCCTGTTCTGAGGCCAGTGGGAGGGAGGTGGGCAGTTTTCCCAAGTTTAGCTTGATTTTATTATTATGCCATTTTCCACTTTCTTACACTACAATTATATTGGCTATCTCAACGGTTTACAAGTATCAAGTAGAAATGAACGTCAATTGCCATTCCGTACATGTCATTGGTCCTCTTGGCCTCATTCCTTATGAGCCATTGCAGTCATTTCGTAAAGCACCATCAAATTTCAGCACAGAATTAATTTACTTTCAAGATCTATAATGGGCATTAAGTGGATACAAAAATTAACCAAAAAAATCCTTAAATATACATTAAATGGTGGTAAAAATGACGGTAAGAAGTTTAATGAGCACTAACTGAGCGTGGAAAAATATAAGGACAAATTTGGATGAGCTCTTGAAATCTGACTTTTCAATTGTTCCCGGATCTTATTGAATTTTCTAGAAAACATATCATTTTTTAAAATTATAAAGTTTGTTTTTCGATCTGCCAGTTCTCGACAATAACAAAAACTGACCATCTGCTATGCCTAAACGCTAGAGAATATAATTTTAGAAATAGTAACCTGTTACTTTAAAACCCCTACCAAGAAAAGCAATAATTAAAGTTGAACATGAAGCTCCTTGTAGTATATTAATTTCAGGCCTAGGCACCAGCAGATGACTCATGTACGTGAGGGAACAGAGTTTATCTTTTTCTGTAGAAACGCCTCTCACCTGCTTCACCTCCAACCTGTTGCTTCTAGAAGAGAATACTATTTCTGGCAGGATCAGAAAGGAACGTTCCAGCTCAATTCCTGACTTGGAATTTGCTTCGTTTCCTGTCCAAAAAAATAAGACCACTGCATTTGGTTTTCAAAATTTCCTGTACACCAGGCCACTTTACCTACATTTAGAGTTGCTACAGTACTTCTCCTTTTTATCTTAATTTGCCCATTCGTCACTTTCTCTGTTCACACCACTTGCCATCAAACTGTATTTCAGGATCAGAAATCATGTATTTTGTTGGAAAGCTTCATTAAAAGAATAGAAGCTACTTACCACTTTTCTGTTGTCAGTTTTTCTCATTGCTCAGTCCATAGCCTGCACGCAGCACTGCAGAGTGGTACCCTCTGTGCAGTGGGTACAAACGGCGAAGAGAAACTGGCTAACTTCCTGAAATTGATCACTTTACCATCAGTGGAACGTAGCATGTGGTTTGCAGAAGTTTATGTGACGAGAAGGGAACTTGCGATTTCTTAACTGTTTCCAAATCATCTATTCATTGTGCTTTAAAATTTCAAAACTAAAATTAGGGGCAGAAAAGCCATTTATAACATGATTTAAATATAACCCGAGCCAGACATATATGGTATATTTTTGTGAGTTTGCATATATTCATGTGTATGTATATGTGCGGGTGGATGTGACTGAGGCTGTAAGGATCTTCCCCAAAATGTTAATGGTAGTCAGTTCTGCAGTGCAAGATTGGGGAAAAATGAGGGAGAGATTTAGAATTCAATTTCGAATTGCCCAAACTCATCTTTTGTTATAGAATTCACAGATGTAGTTAAATAACATTTGTATTGCTTCACCTTTGTTCCAGACATTTCCAAGACAGCGCACAGCAAGCTGGGTGTGGGTCCCTCACCAGGCTGTGGCCACAGAGAGGGCATCTTTCTCCTGGGTGTCCCTATATCTCAGCCAGCACCTGGCGCAGAGTATAAGCTCCATAAACATTTGTTGAATGAATGAGCGAGTGAGTGGATGACCGTGAGCGTTCATGAGGCAGGAAAATTTAATTCCCTGATTTGGCCTGATAAGCGCATTGGATTATAAACTCTCAGGGAGAGGGCCTCGAGGTTTAACCAAGAGCAGAGATCAGCAAACGGCAGGCAGTGGGCCAAGTCTAGCCCGTGGGTGAAGAACTTTTATAGAGGAACCTTTGCAATTGATCTAATGACGAAGAACACTAACTTTAAACTCCACTTTGGCAAAACGTTACCATCCCCCAAAGAATTTCATCCTTCTCATTATTAGATGTATATTACACAGAACTGTGCTCATTATATTTTGAATGTTATCAATTAAATAATTGTGCAATTTGTTTTTCTTTTATTATGTAAGTACCTATATAATGTCCTCAATTTGCCTCTTGGCCCGCAAAGCCTAAAATATTTACTTTATAAAAAACATTTGCTGACCCCTGGCCCAAAGAATCGTTTGGAATGGAACAGAATATGCTTCATCTTGCCTTACGCTCCTGGATTTGGAGGAAAACACATCGGGGACAGGGGTGGGAAGGGGGTGACATTTACACACATACACACATTATTATTACTATTACTTTCTCTCAGGCCTAGGATCTCCCTCCCATGTATAACCTCTCTCTGTGACAACATACAGTGTTTGGAAAATCTTTTTCCTTTTTTTACGCCTACAGCACCTGGTCTTCCTAGGTGGTCTCCCATCCAAGTACTAACCAGGCCCGACCCTGCTTAGCTTCCGAGATCAGATGGGATCGGGCACGTTCAGGGTAACATGGCCATAGACTGGAAAACCTTGCTATGAAGGAATGCCTTTCAGAACTCATCTCTGTGGGTGGCCATTCCTAAACTGATCTCTAATGAGTGGCCCCTCTGGCGATTCAAGGCCTGGCATCAGGGAACCATGACAGCAGGGAATACAGCGTGTGGCTTCATGGGCTTACCCAAGCCTTCGCCACAGTGAGCTCAAGGACTCATGTGGCTACCACCCAGTCTGTTGCTTTCCCATGAAATGTTTGCTCAGAAATAAAGTTTAAAAAGCTAAGTAAAAGTGACTGCCAGAAGCATACTGAGGAACATACCTTTAGGCTGGAGCACTGGTCGGCTTTTCTAGAAAAGTCAAACCCATATGCTCTGGCTTCCAGGATATAACGTGTCATCCAACTATAGACCAGTTACTTGGGAACTCATAAAGCCTGGCACATGCTACTAAGGTTATACTTGCAAACAGTCTAGTGCCCAGGCCAGGCAAACTCATAAAAATGACGTACTGATCCGAATCAAATGAGCCTTCCCATGTTTTTCCACACAACCAGTAACCATGAAAGATAAAAATGGAAACAAAATCAATACCAGGGCAGGACAGTCACTGCAAACCAAAAGTGTAGTCCCCCAAGGCAAGTGGTCAGAGGCTCCAGTCCTCTGCCTGAGCCCAGAGACTGGCCCTCAGTGTCCCACCCTGCCCCGTGAAGGCACAAAGCTCTTGGGCATCTCTTTCCTTGCTTTTCCCTTTGCCACCCACGCTGACACAGATCTTTATTTCAAAATGGAGACAATCTGTCATTAATCATCCCTTCCAGGCAGCATGGATGTTCCAGACACACAAGTCACCAGCTGGAGCAGATGAACCTCTCTGAGCCTCAGTTTTCTCATCTCTCAAATGGGGAGAAGAATTACAGCCTCACCCTCCTACCATAGCTTTGAGGATTATACGTATGTGTCCGTGTGTGTGGAACCCTTAGGACAGTCTGCGGCATAGATTACGCACTTGACGAGTAGAGCTGGTATTACTATTACTACTCTTGTTGTCGGGGGGCTTCACTCATCTCTGAGCTGTTGCCCAAAGTAGGCCAGGAGAACCACTCTCGTGGCACTGGCCACAACCCTTTCCTGTGGTGTCGATGAGTGCCACAGCACCCCCGGGCCAGCAGGTGACTTCTTCGCGTCAAGGCTGTGGCGAAGTGCCGCGTGTAGAAATACCATGGGGCCCTGAAAATGCCCCAAGACCTAGAACGACACCAGGTGCTGGAAATCAGTTGTTCATCAAAAAAAAAAAAAAAATCAGCACTGAATATAAAAACGGCTCAAGTGGAAGGAGTCATGTAAAAGAAACATTTTTAAGCAAAGGATTTGGATGAGAAAGTACACAGATTCCTTTACACAAGGCCAGAGCTGATGTGAGCCCATGCTGGTTTTAAATTGCTGTGCGGGGCTCCTGAGGGGACAGCAAGCTGCCCTTCCCTGGTGAGCACAGACACAGGTGAGATAGGTGGCAGGACTCAGCCGCAGGTAGCAGCTATTGTTGATCTCCTTCCCCACCTTCCCTTCCTCCCTGACTCCTGGGTGCCGTCACCCACTCTTCCTGAACCCGCTCAGTCTTCATAGTCACCCTGCCTCACACCTACTCCATTATACTCATTCCCAACTGCAGCCAATTCTTCTCCATTTGTACCATTATTTCTCATTTCAAACAAAGCTTAATGTGCTAGTCTGTACATGCCTCAGTGCCCACCAGAAAGTGGCAGCCCTCTGGAGGAACGAGTTAACTAAAGGTACTCTGCCTCTGGTCTGCGTAGCCCCAAATCAGGGCACAGAGCCAGGTAAGAAGGAGGGCTGGGTTACAGCCTCACTTGGTCATATGGCCAACTCCCCTTCAGTGGTGGCCAACGTATGTAACCATACATGGTGGCCCAGCTAAACCGAACAAGCTCATTTCATCATGGTGAATGGGACTGACTCCTTCCAATGGCACGTCTGACTGCACAGGGACAAGGCCAAGTTCCCTGCAGTCCTCTGCAAATTCCCTTTTTGAGTCAGGACCAGGTTGCAGAGCAATTACCTGAAAACCTGGGTCTTTCCATCAGTTGCAACCCATTCCTATGTTTCCCAAGGTCGGTGTCTCCCAAATAAGGGACCAAGACACCACACCAAAAAGCCATAGCAATTTAGAGCTCAGATGGCCCCGTTAGTCTACGGATGAAGAAATTCAAGCCAAAGGTCAAAAGTGCAACAGAGGTAGAAAAAAGCGTGGGAACTGTCACGCTGCCCTTCCTCCGTGCTGTTCTCTCAACTTCTCCCTTCACTGATGCCCTAAGCGAAACGCCAAGCATATTGAATATTCAATCAGCATTTTGAGAAGAGGATGAGGGTGGGTTTTCTGGATCCCATCAACTTTTTGTTCTTCTTCCCTATGTCTTTTGCTAAAATCTCATGTAATCATCTCTTCAGGATGGACTGC